GAATGAAGTCGTTAACAAGTACGAGTAAAAACTCGTTAGCATTATTAGGTTTGCACATTCCATGATAAATACCAATTATAAAAGGTAATGTATATGTATCTACATCTTCAATAGATGCCATTATTGGCCAAAATTGACTACCACTACTTTTGGAAATTGGCAAACCGTCAATATTAATATTTAATTTTATTTTATTCCCTGTAATAAATTCAGAATATATTTGTATGGATCGCTTTAGAGTAGAGAAAAGACCAAAATGAACGTAGCGTCCACTATCCAGAGATTTTATATTTACAGACGCATTTCGTGGTGTTTTAAGTAACACCCTCACGTCTTTAGGCAAATCTACATAGCCATGTTTCCTTAAAATAGTAAGTAACTCGTTAACAGTATTATGTGCAATATTTCGTTCAATAATAAATTTTTGTAAATCTTCTCGTAAACTCGTTATATTATTGCTACCATCAGAGATATTATTTATATCAGAAATATAATCTTGTGCTTCAACATTATGTTCCTTGTTACTTTCTATATCCGATAGTGATTCTACACTTGATTCACTTATTTCGTTAGCAAAATCGTGAGGCAAAATATTAATTTCGTTAAATGTATCATCGACATTTGTGAAACTACTGTTACCACTATTTTCTGCTTCTATCGTATCAGATGCTATATTCGAATTGGTTGAATGTAATAATTTTTGAATATTTATAATAAGTCAATTCGCGTTTAATTATTTGATTCTTTCGCCTTTTTGATAAATATTGAAATTCCTTTGGCATGATGGCAGACAGTAAAATCTACATAAGAGACAACAACGGTAGATGAGAGTACTTGCGTGAAATGCGCCACCGTCAATGTATTAACATATCTAACTCATGCATAACACATTCTATATTTGTATTACACTGATAATATATAGAAAAATAAATTAACACTTATACATACACACACAGATTTCTCTTCTTATTTTTATTGTATGTATAGGGTGTTCAAAATAAAGGTTCACTAATTTAATTGACTATAATTTCTAAAATAAATAAAAAAATAAGATTCTTTTTTTTATTTATTAATTGAATCATGACAAATTATAACGAATTAGGTGTGAAACAAAATGTCGTTCAAATGGCCGCTTTGGGTTGAGTCACAAATTTGAGTTCTTTTTATAGTATTTTGCATGACACAAAGTCTCTTATAAAGTAGTGGAAATTTAAGCTCTTTCTGCACAAATGTTATCTTTCAGTTCATCAATTGTTCATCACTTTTCCTTTGAGATAGCTCTACAAAAAAAAATCTGGAGCCATCAAATCAGGAGATCTTGGAGGTCAATCAAAACTGCCAAAACGAGAAATAAAACGATCTGGAAAGATTGTTTATAATAGCACGATTGTTTCGCGATATGTGTGTGCGGTGGCACCGTCTTGTTGAAAATAAAAAACAAAATAAAAAAAAAACAATTGCAAACAATCTTTCCAGATCGTTTCATTTCTCGTTCTGGCAGTTTTGATTGGCCTCCAAGATCTTCAGATTTTTTTTGTGGAACTATCTCAGGAAAAGTGTATGCGAATCATCCAGTAACAATTGATAACCTGAAAAATAACATTTGTGCAGAAATAGCTCAAATTTCTACTACTTTATGTGAGACTTTGTGTCAAGCAAAATGCTATAAAAAGAGCTCGAATTTGTAACTCACAATCAGTCCGAAGCGGCCATTTGAACGACATTGTGTTCTACACCTAATTCGTTAAATTTGTCTTGATTCAATGAATAGATGAAAAAAAGAATCTTGTTTTTTTATTTATTTTAGAAATTATAGCCAATTGAATTAGTGAACCTTCATTTTGAACATCCAGCATGTGTATGTGTGCGTATTTACTTGAAAGCAGAGAAAACAATTGTACTTACATATAAAAGTAACTCGTATCCGAACGAGAGAACGGGTTGCACACGGCTTATGCAATGATTTCAATTTTCGACAGGCGTAAGTGCAACGTTTCAGCGACAATCCTTAAATCATAAAGCACTGCAACATAAATAAGACCACTTATATTAGAACACTTGTACGTAATTGTATTAAAAAAGATTTGGCTTTTATACATATGTACGTAAATATGCATGAAGGTGTGTGTGTATGTGTATATGTGTATGTGTGCGTATTTACTTGAAAGCAGAGAAAATAATTGTACTTACATATAAAAGTAACTCGTATCCGAACGAGAGAACGGGTTGCACACGGCTTATGCAATGATTTCAATTTCGTACAGGCGTAAGTGCAACGTTTCAGCGACAATCCTTAAATCATAAAGCACTGCAACATAAATAAGACCACTTATATTAGAACACTTGTACGTAATTGTATTAAAAAAGATTTGGCTTTTATACATATGTACATACAACATCGCGTGCTTGTCGTACGACAGGCACATAAAATCGTACGATTACATGCCACCATTAATCAGGTTTAATAAAGTTTGTAGATATAAAACCGGATTTAATTACGTAAAATGTTTTAACGCTAGTTAATGGTAACGTTTAATCGTAATCTATAATGATCGGACCGGGGAAAAGAACTTACGATACGATTCGGCAACTGTCTCCTACGTGCTTCAACGTTGCAACGTGCCTGCCTGTGCCGGTATGATCTCGCTTCCCAGCATGCTCCTGAACCAATCAAGACATGATATGGCTGTGTGTTACACATACGTCTGCGCGAGTGTCACTCGCTACCAATCATCGACGTAGTAGCCGCTGTGCGCACACGTAACAAGATGCGTATGCAGTTGTTTCCTCCCGACACTCAGTTTATTACAAATAAATAAATATATAACATCAAAATAATATTTACGAAGCACTTGTTATATAACATGTTACATTCAAGTTATATTGCCATTTACTTTATTATAACCAGTAAGCAACAAAGCAAAATAACAATTCTATAACACAATTACATTATATGTATAAAAAATATTATATAATCACAATATAAATAAAGTGTAACATTTGTTATATGTAATATCTGTTACATGTTATTTCTACGTTATATGGCAACTATATATTGTGTTTGCTGGGATATCAAT